CTTAGCAAAGCACAGGGACCGCGGTTCAATCCCCAGCACCACATGCCAGCCAGCCCGCCCCCTGGTGGGCTGAGCTGGCCACACACACACACACACATAAATTAAAATAAAATAAAATTGCCCAAGCTGGGCTGGAATTTGTGATCATCCTGCCTCAGCTTCCCAGAGTGCTAGGATCACCGGTGTGAGGTACCATGCCCAGCTTGGCCGAGGTCTTTTCACAAATGTTTCTTGTAACATCAAGTTGGAAACCTGAGTATGCCTGTCCGGCTTAACTGGCCCATGGAAGGCACACAGTGGCGACAGAAGCAGAGGGGTTGGCAGAACAGCAGCAGTCCCTGATGAGCACTTGAGAAAGGACCAGGGCTGACAAGTGCCCAGAGGCCTGCTGTACCTGTGCCACTCAGGAGCCACTCCTCCACTGAGCCAGGGAGGCCCAGGCTGCATGGGGACCCGGGTCTGGCAGGGCTCCTGGGTAGGCAGTGGGAGAGGAAGCTGCGTCCCAGTCCCACCCTACCTGCAGCTTGCCATCAGCGCTTTCAGCTAAGTCCCACCACCTCACTGCCAAAATCTTCCACTGAACCACTGCCCGCCAGGCTCAATACAAGCACTTAAAAATCAAGTGCCAACTACCTGACAAATCTCCAGGGACAGAGCTGCCACCTGGCAGTCTCACTGGAACCTTCAGTTTGCTCAGAGCCCATCACACGTACACACAGCTGGTCCACGCCATGGAACTGGGGGCTCTTGGGCATCTCCACGGCACCGCAGAGCTACATCACTGTGCGCTGCTTTGAATCTGGGAGCACATCCATGCTGCACCCCGGTTTCTACCCTCCACACTTTGTCTCTTGCAGGCTTCTTATGGCAAAGTCACTTTTTCCCTCTGTGATCTTAAGTTGGATTGGCAATTCTGGGTTTGTGTTACTGTACATTTGGGGGAAATTTTTGCTGGTAGTTTGTTCATAGTTGAGTTTTCTTGAACCTGAAAGGTATGATTCGTGCCACGTTGTCAATGGAGGCCAAAGTCAGGGTTTCTCCCTCCATGGGAGGGCAAAGGACTTTAAGGCAGCTGATCCACAAGGCAATGGCCTGCCGCTTGGATACCATCCCTAGCCTTGGAAGGGGTCTGGCTCAGGCACAGACAGATAACAACCCAGGTAACTAACCCCGCTGCCAGAAATGCTGGCGGATAAGCACAGGCTGTTAGGCAAACACCTTGACTTAATAGGCTGGACCTGCCTGAGTTCTAGAATCTAGACAGTGCGACTCCCCTCAGCCCCTCCACAACCATCCCTGGTGCCTGCGTCCCTGCTCTAGAATTGCTGTCTCTTAGCAATTCTCTACCGTTGGCTCACCTCTAAAAGGGGCTTCAAGTCAGCCAGAACACCTATGCGCCCTAGGCTTGCCGCTGCACCTACCAATAATCAACACTGTGGAGGTTGTGAAACGTCAAAAACATCCCAGACACTGTCGCCAGTAGCTTATACCTCCTTCATCTTCTTTCCTTGGCATTGCAACTACATGTAATTAGCACTTTATATTTAGTAATTAGCATTGCCTAATAGGATTCTGAGAAGTTGACATTTTCATAAAAACTCCACATTTCCCGCCCAGGCCTCGAGGCGCAATTTGAAAAAAATTTAAAAAAAAAAATTATATATATGCGTCAGTCTTTTTTGGTGCTGAATATGCATGTGCTGGGCCTTTTCCTGGACTCAGCTGATAAATTTAGAAACTCGTTTAGAAAGGAATTTTTTCCTATTCAGCAGCTGTCCGCTCCGGGCTCAAACCTTCGAGTAAGTACAAAATCCTTAACATGTCCCCAACCAACCACGCAATCTGTTCAAATCCAACTTGGAGCCAAGTCTGGGCCAGGCGAGGGATTTGCTCTGCCCGCTGCAACGCGGCAGCGCAAGCCGTGGCCGCCAACGTAGCGCCCGCGCCCGCTTCTGCTGCTCGAGCTAGCACGTCCTAGAGCCCAGCGCAACATCAGTGCGCTTCCCCGCCCGCCGTCAGCCCCTCTCTGAGCCGGCACGACAGTCCTCGGCGCCGTGGCCCCCAACAGGAGCGTAGGACCCGGCGCCGGAGAAGGGAACCCCGACCCCTTCCAACGGCGCAACCCGCCCCGGAACCCAGCCGCCGGGTGGCCCCCACGTGGCCCCATGAGCGATCCGCACAATCCTGCTGCCGCTGACGGACGGCGCGCCCTGGCCAATCGACGCGGCGTTGCCGGCCAGTGGCCAATAAAAGTCCAGCAAGGCCGCGCCGCCGATTCGACGCGGGCGTAACCCCTAACTGCCATTGGAGAGTTGAGGCCCCGCCCCGCCTGGAGGCTCCGCCCCGCCGGCCTAGTTAGGTTGCGGCGCGGGCGGCGGGCGGAGCTGGTCCCGTTGTGCTGCGGCTCCGCGCGGCCTGCAGTCCCGGGCCCGCGCCCCTCGCCGCCGCCCGCCCGCCAGACATGGAGCCCAGCCTCGACGGCCCCGCCGCCATCCGCGAGGGCTGGTTCCGCGAGACATGCAGCCTGTGGCCCGGCCAGGCCCTGTCGCTGCAGGTGGAGCAGCTGCTCCACCACCAGCGCTCGCGGTACCAGGACATCCTAGTCTTCCGCAGGTACCGCCCGGCCCGCGCCTCCGGCCCCGCGCCCCTCCCAGCCAGACCCCTCCCGCCGCTCTCCGCGCGCCCCCGCGGCACAGCTGTCACCGGTTCCCGCGAGCCGGGCCCGGCAGCCACTGAGGCCCGAGCCGCCTGCACCCCGCGTCGTGGGCTGGGCCGCAGCGTGCGCCGCTCTCCACGTGTCAGTCCTGGACACGTCAGCCGGAGACCCCGGGCCCCACCCCGATTCCCGCCACGTGTCACCCTCTCCCCCCACCCCTGGGACCCCGGGTGGGGCGGGGCGTATTACCCCCACTCCGGAGGACCCAGGTCCCCGACTGTCACTCCACAGCAAGACCTATGGCAACGTGCTGGTGCTGGATGGCGTCATCCAGTGCACGGAGCGGGACGAGTTCTCCTACCAAGAGATGATCGCCAACCTGCCGCTCTGCAGCCATCCCAACCCCCGCAAGGTACCGCTCCCGCCGGCTTCGGCCTGGACGCTGCTGAGGTTGGCAAGGACTTGGGGGTGTCCCTGGAGCAGCTGTTCCGACTAGGGGAGGCCTGACAGACTCTCCTCCGCCAGGCCTGAAGCCCAGAAGCCCGGGGAGGGGCTCTCGGGAAGAGGGAACCCCAGGCCAGGTCTTTATTCTAAATGAAGAGAATGAAGGAAGGTGGCCTGAGATCGGGGCTGGGGAACAGCATTGCCCCAGATGGCCTTATGGGGATGGGTCGGCCTGCTACACATAGACCTGCTCCCAAAGACTGTCCCCACCCCAGGTGCTGATCATCGGAGGTGGAGATGGGGGCGTTCTACGCGAGGTGGTGAAGCACCCCTCGGTGGAGTCTGTAGTCCAATGCGAGATTGATGAGGTGAGTGCCAGGCCCACGCTGGTCCCCTGGGTGTCTATTTAGAAAAACCAGTGCTAAAACCCAGTGAGGTGGCACAGACCTGTGATCCTGGCACTCTGGGAGGCTGAGGCAGGAAAATCAAGAGTTCAAACCCAGTTTTGGCAGTTTAAAGACTTACTAAAATTTTACCTCTATCAATAAAACTATGGCAAAAATTAAAATAAAATCTTACCTCAAAACTTCAAAAAGGGGATAGGGGAGTGGCTGGGGAAGTAGCTTAGGCCAAAGACCCTGTGAACAGTCCCCAGATTTTCAAAAACAGTGTCAGGAGAATCCAGTAAGAAAAAAATGGTAGAAGGCCCAGCACATATTGCACATGGGTGTTAATTTAAGCCCCAGGCGGGGCTTAGAGATCTAACAACTAACTACTGGCTTAGAGATCTATCTAACCTTTATACTAGGGTACATAGATTTGTTTTTCCAGGATTGGGGGGTTAAATCCAGGTCCTCCCCCTGAACTATATCCCTAGACCTTTATCTTTTGAGATGAGGCCTCAGTAAATCACTAAGTTATTGTGGCTTGGCTCAATTTTATGATCATGCCTCAGCCTCCAAGAGGAGGGGAGTTACAGGTGTGCGCCACCACACTTTGCTTACCCTAAGCAACTTTAGTGAGTGTGCACGGTGTCAGGTATTGGTGAAGGTGCTGGGTGGCGCATAGATCACCTCCTGCCTTGGAGATGATGATCCAAATTTGGGGACATCACAAGGTGACCAAATACGGCTTGAAAGGAGCAGCAGATGATGAAGAGGCAGGGTGGAGAGGGGTGCACACTTGCGACCCAGCAAGTCCTGAGATGTCAAGGTCACCTTCGAACACTGGCTCAGAATGAAAGGGAAGCGTGCCTGCCCGACCTGCACAAGGCCCTGACTTCTCCCCCCACTGCCCCAGGAAGAGTGGAGGGGAGAGCAGGCCCCCAGAGGGACCCCAGCCTTCAGAACCCAGCCTCATCCCTCCTGCCCCACCCCAGGATGTCATCCAGGTCTCTAAGAAGTTCCTGCCGGGCATGGCCATTGGCTACTCTAGCCCAAAGCTGACCTTGCACGTAGGTGATGGCTTTGAGTTCATGAAACAGAACCAGGATGCCTTCGACGTCATCATTACTGACTCCTCGGACCCCATGGGTAAGCGAGTACTGGGGCAGCTGCCAGCCTTCCTAGGCCTGCTCTCCTGAGTGCAGAATGGAGGGTGCCCCAAATCTAGAGCCATCACCCCTCCAGCAAGACTCAGGAGAGGAGGGAAGATGCCAGGTCACTGCCCTGAGTTCACAAATTGGAACTAGATGTGGTGGTGCACACTTGTAATTCCTCCGCTCTGGGAAGCCAAAGCAAGTGGATTGCCATGAGTTTGAGGCCAGCCTGGGTTAGAGAATTAGAGACTCTCTCAAAACAGCTTTAAAAAAAAAAATAGGTTCGTGAGGAGCATGGTGTGGTTGTGCCTCCTGGAGCCTCAGTTTCCCTCTTTTCTTCCTGTCTGCTCTGCTTCCACCCACCAGCTTGGGAGCAGGATGGTTCTTGGCTTGAACCAGTGCCTGGGGGTGGAGGCGGGGCTCCTCTGCGGTGGTGCCAGGGAATCTCCCAGAATCAGGATTGGATGTGGGGCCCCTGCACCTTAGCCGGGCCTTGCCAGCGTGAGTCCACGGAGGGGGTGACGGTGGCCCCTGGGGTCCCAGCCAGGGCGCGTTCATCGTCCTCCTCCCTGAAGGCCCTGCCGAGAGCCTCTTCAAGGAGTCCTATTACCAGCTCATGAAGACAGCGCTGAAGGAGGACGGCATCCTGTGCTGCCAGGGTGAGCGCCGGCAGGGGGAGGCGGGTGAGCTGGTGATGAGGTGCAGGGCCAGCAGCTGAGACGTATACCCCCCCAGGTGAGTGCCAGTGGCTGCACCTGGACCTCATCAAGTCGATGCGGCAGTTCTGTAGGTCCCTGTTCCCGGTGGTGGGCTATGCGTACTGCACCATCCCGACCTACCCGAGTGGCCAGATCGGCTTCATGCTATGCAGCAAGAACCCGGTGAGCTAGGTGCTGCTGGGGGCGGGGGGCAGTGGGCATGGAGGGCCCTGCCCTGATGCCACCCCGTCCTGGGTCCCCTAGAGCACCAATTTCCAGGAGCCCATCCAGCCACTGACACAGGCGCAGGTGGAACAGAGGCAGCTGAAGTACTACAATGCCGAGGTGCACCGTGCCGCCTTTGTGCTGCCTGAGTTCGCCCGCAAGGTGTGTGGCTGCCACCCCAGTGGTGGGACCCGGGGCTCCTTGATGCCAGCCCACCCACCACATGACCCCCGGCATCCTGCTGACCACCCTCATGTCCTGCCAGGCCCTGAATGATGCAAGCTGAGCCCCAGTGCCACCATGCCACCGTCCAAGACCTCGGGCTGCACTGGAGAGCCTCAAGGGTGTCGGCCCCCCAGCCTGGACCAGACCCCTGCCAGCTGTCCACTGGCCATGTTCAACACACCCCAGGATGCTGCCTACCAGCACTGCTGGGCGGACTCCGGGTGTCCCTCATGGCTGGCGAACGCCCCATGCCCACACCAGCTCTGTACAGCACTGTCCCCCATCCCCTCAGCAAACACGTATTTATAACAAAGTTCGCAGTCCTGTCCTCTGGCCTTTGCTGGTCCCAGCAGGAGCCACATGAGCCATCACTGGCCACTGTCAGGTGTGAGGGTCTGCGTGGGCCCTCCACTGTCACACTGGGCACAAAGGGACACCACAGTCACCTCACTAACCCTCAGTCTGGCTCATCAGCCTGGGACTCTGGGACCAAGGCAGTCTTTCGGAGAAGTTAGGCTTTGCACAACATTGAGGGGGACCCCGGAGAGGGCTGGAGTAGAGCCAGAGTCCGGTTCCCACGGCCTTGTTGAAACAGGTATGGAGCTTGTGATGGTGACCTCTGCTGAGTCCTAGGTCCCCCAGCAAGCCCCCACACCACTCTGAGCTGCTCTACCCCCATGAGGCCAGCAGCTGAGAGCATAGGCCTGCAGTTCACAGGCCCTCCCTGGATGCAGGGCTGTTCCCTCTCCAAGGTGCTGAACCTGCAGCCTCCCTGCACCGGGTGCTCTTGGCCACCCTGTGACTGGGACCTTGCGGGCTGGGCCAGTGCAGATGGGAGGGAGCCACTCCTGGCTCAGGGACTGCAGTAGCCAGCCCCCTTGCTGCCCTGGACAGAGAGAGAGGCTACCTTCTGGTTACACTGGATCCCTCTTCCTTACCTGGGCAGCCCCTCACTGTCTCAGGCTGGGGCTGGTTCTAGTTGGGTCCAGCGGCTGCCTATCCACTCGTTGGTCCTCAAGCCTCTCTGCCCTTCCCCCCAAGCCTGAGCAGTCATGGCAGCAGGTGGGGCAGGCTGGGGTCTCTGCTGGTGTCTGCCCCTCAGCAGAACCCTGATGAAGCCTGGCTGCAGGGCCCAGCCCCAAAACACTGGAAGCTGCAGGGGCTGGCATTTGTCTCTTGAGTTTGTGTGTTGATTCGGCCTTCACAGCACCTGTGAGGAAGGCTCTGTTATTGCAGCACAGGTGGGGGGACCGGCCCAGCCTTAGCCCTTCTGGGGGCTCCCACCCAGGGTGGCTGTGCCTCCCAGCCCCAACGTTCATTCATCAGGAGGGTGCACAGTGGGGTCCTAGGCAGAGAGCAGTGCAGGGGAAGCAGCAGAGGAAGCCTGGGGACTCCTAGATGGGAGCCCTGGCCTAGCCCTGCCTCCTTACCCTGACCTGGGGCACTCCGCTCTGGCCAGCGCCCTGTCGTAGGACAGGAGCAGTGAGCCTTCTCAGAAAGCTTCAGGTAGAGGCACCAGGTGGCTGCTCCTGACCTCTAATGAGGTCACGGTGAGCCTCAGGTGAGCGTGGTTCTGGGCCCCACGGCCCAGTGGGCACTGGAGATGTGGCCTGGCCCGCGGAGGGAAAGCAGCTGTGTGTGCGCGCACATGCGTGCCAAGTGCAACCCAGGGGCTTCTACAGCCTCAGTCCTTACGTTTTAAGACGCATCTTGGGAAGTTCCCCAGGCTGGCCTTGAAATTTTGAACCTCGTGCCTCGCCCTCCTGAGTGTATAACCACTTTGGCATGGAGATGTGACCGTGCCAGCTACTGACGCCTACCTGGGGTGTCCCATGCCTATCTCGTGCCTCAGCCTGCACGTTTCCTGCGTCCTTTACGATAATCCTTAAAGTGTGTGTGCAGAGTGCTGTGAGCTGTCCTGCCAAGGAAGGTACTGGAGTCCTGGTTTATAGCCTGTGGGAAGGGAGCTGGCTCTGGTGGCTGGCAGGCACGCACACACACGCACGCACACACACACACACACATTCCAGCTCCTCTAGAGATGAAGCAGGAGGATCGGGAGCTCAAGCCCAGCCTCGGTAATTTCCCAAGACCCTCGCCTCAAAATGCTTGAAAGCTCTGGGGACAGTTCAGAGCAGAGTTCCTGGGTTCAACCCCCAGAGCTCCCATTAAAAATTAGTGGAGGGCTGGGGAGATGGCTCAGGAGAATAAGCCTTCCCTGGCAAGCGCAAGGGCCTGAGTTCAATCCCCACTTCTGCAAAAAAAAAAAGAGGTGACATCTCGTTTGCCGTCCTACAACGCAGGACCAGCTGTGGGGCCTGACCTGCCTCCAAGTGTCAGGGTCAGGGCTGAGTCAGAGGCCACCCTGCCTCATGGTGTGTGCCAGATCAAGGCTACCCACATTGAGGATGCTGCTGGCCTGTGTCTTGCAGGGCTGTCCCCACCGTCCCCTTTCTACTGGAAAGCAAGGGTTCAGCTCTTGTGACGTGGTTTGCACTGTCACACCTGGGGGTGCAGCCCACAGGACTAGGAGCGTGGGCTGCAGCTGTGCCCACCACCCAGCCGCCTTGCGAGGACTCAGTCCTAGCTTGGTGGGTTGCTTGATTTCCATTTTCTTAGTTTTCAATAAATTCACCAGTGATTATACCCAAACTCTTCACTAGTTCTGAGGCTCATTTTATTTTATCCTTTTGTGACAGAGTCTCACCATGTGGCCCAGGTGGGCCCCAGCTCAGCGATCCTTCTGCCCTGGTCTCTGGGTGCCGGGTTAGAGGCTTCACACCTGGCCGGATGCTCAGCAAGGGCACCCTCATTTCCTGTCCCCAGACAATACATTCAGAACATTCTGATGCCCAGCAGAGCTCTGGCCTGGCAGCCCGGTTTCCCTTGGTTTCTGGGTGGAGACCCCATATGTAGTAGTGAAGACCAAAAATAACAACCCCTGGGGCCAGGGAGATGGCTCAGTGGAATAAGCACTTCCCTAGCAAGTGCAAGGGTCTGAGTTCAATCCCCGGTTCTGCAAAAAATAATAATAACAACAACCCCACCTTATGACAAGGAAGAAAGTAACTTGGCTTTTTGTTTCTCATTTTTTTAATTTACTGGAGTGGGGGACAGGACCTTGGTGTGTAGTCTACCATGATACAGGACCGCTAAGTGATATAAGGGAGATATTATAACTCCCAACCAGCAAGAGGTTCGATAGGCCAAATTTGTGTCCCTCCAAGTCAAAGAATGAATTCTAGGGGCCGGGGAGATGGCTCAGTAGAATAAGCACTTCCCTGGCAAGTGCAAGGGCCTGAGTTCAATCCCCAGTTCCGGAAAAAAA